AGATATCGAGAAGACTGCATTCAGAACGAGATATGGATTTGATGAATAGGGTTTGTTGTTTGAACTAACCAATGCTCTAGCAGCATTGGTTATGTTGTTTGAACTAACCAATGCTCCAGCAGCATTCATGGATTTGATGAATAGGGTTTGTAAACCATTCCTCGATAAATCTGTGATAGTGTTCATCGATGACATTCTGATCTACTCGAAAATCCAAGAGGAGCATGGCAAACATCTAAGTGAAGTGTTGGAAGTGTTAAAGAAGGAGAAACTTTACGCTAAGTTCTCCAAGTGTAATTTTTGGATCCGAGAAGTCCAATTCTTGGGTCATGTGGTTAACCAAGAAGGGATAATGGTTGACCCAGAAAAGATAAAAGGTGTAATGAAGTGGGAACGTCCGAAAAGTCCCACAGAGATTTGTAGCTTTCTAGGATTAGCCAGATATTATCGATGGTTCATCCAAGGCTTTTCTTTGATAGCTGCTCCGTTAACAGCTTTGACCCATAAAGGAGCTACGTATACATGGAGTGAGAAACACGATGAGGCATTCGAGAAACTAAAGAAGAAGTTATGTGAAGCACCGATACTTTCTCTACCCGATAGAGTCGAAGATTTCGCAGTTTATAGTGACGCTGCTGGAGTCGAGTTGGGTTATGTTCTGACCCAAAGAGAAAAGGTGATAGCATACGCATATCCACAATTGAAAGAGCACAAAAAGAACTACCCCACTCATGATTTGGAGTTGGCAGCGGTATTTTTCGCTCTAAAGATATGGAGGCATTATCTCTATGGCACGAAGTGCAGGTTGTTCACTGATCATAAGAGTCTCCAGTACCTCTTTAATCAGAAAGAGTTGAACATGAGGCAACGACGCTGGCTAGAACTACTCAAGGACTACGATTGTGAGATACTTTACCACCCAGGTAAAGCAAATGTTGTTGCTGATGCTCTCAATCGGAAAATCAACCTTGAAAGGAAAAGGACAAGAGCGTTGAGAATCGAAGTCGTCTCGACGATTGTGGAAAGTATCAAGAAAGCTCAAGAAGAAGCTTTAGAGAAGAATGGCCGAAAGGAAGAACGTTTGGGCAAAACGTTAATGTTCGCAACAAACAGTTGAAGAATGAAGGTATTCCAAGATCGAATTTGGGTACCTAATATGGGAGGAATAAGAGATCTTCTGATGGAAGAATCACACAAGACCATGTATTCAATTCATCCCGGTAGCACTAAAATGTATAGGGACCTAAAACCCTACTACTGGTGGCCGACGATGAAACTCAACGTTGCGAAGTATGTGGCCGAGTGTGTAACATATGCGAGAGTTAAGGAACAACATCAGAAACCGTATGGGAGTTTAGAACCTTTACCCGTACCCATGGGTAAATGGGAGGATATCACCATGGATTTTGTGACTAAACTGCCCAGGACGAAGAACGGTCACGACATGATTTGGGTAGTCGTGGATCGTTTCACTAAGAGTACACACTTCATAGCAGCCAACGAGAAGTGGTCTATGGATAAGCTCGCAAATGGTTACGTGAAGGAAATTGTAAGACTTCACGGTGTTCCTCTTACAATTGTACCTGATCGTGATAGTCGTTTCACGTCACGGTTTTGGAGGAGTCTACAGGAGGAGTTGGGTACAAAGTTGTGTTTGAGTACTGCTTACCATACGCAAACTGATGGTCAGAGCGAAAGAACGATTCAAACACTGGAAGATATGCTGAGAGCATGTACCCTCGAGTTCCAAGGGAATTGGGACGATCACTTACCTCTGGTAGAATTTTCCTACAACAATAGTTTTCACTCGAGCATCAAGATGGCACCTTATCAAGCCTTGTATGGATAGAAGTTTCGTACGCCGTCTTGTTGGCTTGAAGCCGGAGAGAAGCAGTTTATGGGCCCCGAGATAGTCAATGAGACTGCTGAGAAGTTGAAAGTGATTAGGGAAAGGATGTTAGCAGCTCAGGATCGTCAAAAGAGTTACGCTGACAAGAAAAGACGACCAATAACTTTTGAAGATGAGGATTCCGTTTTGCTTAAAGTCTCACCGTGGAAGGGACTTATAAGGTTCAGGAAACGAGGGAAGTTGAGTTCAAGGTTTATTGGACCATTCAAAGTTCTTCAGAAGATAGGGAACCAAGCTTACAATCTCGAATTACCTGAAGAACTCAATGGTATTCATAACACCTTCCATGTGTGTTATTTGATGAAATTCACAGGATATGTTCCCAACATAATTCCAACCTCAGAGTTAAGAATGGATGAAAATAAGAGGCTAATTGAAGAGCCTGAGGCAATTGTTGACCGTATGACGAAGAAGTTACGATGCAAGATGGTCGACTTAGTGCTAGTCCGATGGAAACATTCGAATGGGCTGGATCTCACTTGGGAAACAGAGGATGACATGATGAGTCGTTATCCACATCTGTTTGCTGATGCATGATAACAGGACGGAATCATCCTAAGGGGGAGAGAATTGTAATTCCCGGGTTTCAGGGCTAAGCATATTTGTCAATGTAATAGTCTAGGTCAACTCTTGTAACTCTTTTCGAAGTAATAAATATGAAATATTTGAGTATTATGTGAAATATGTGTGTTTATGTGCTTAAAATTTAATTATAAATGTATAATTAATAAAGAATAAAAATAAGCATCAAAATTAAAGTGTGAGATAAGCCCGATATCTCTACATAAAGTTGTAGTGTCCAAATAAGGATTTCGGGGATATAAAGAACGCTGAAATCCGAGTTATAACGAATAAGTTATGACCCGTTGAAGTTTCGCGACGGAACCGGCACGATACCAGGAAGCGTAAATAGTGAATTTACTATAGATAGGGATTTAGCTTTAGTGATCTAAACGAAAGTTGTAGAATATGTTAAACTAAGAACATCTATAAAAAGAACGCCCAAATCTGACTTCGTATGAAGAAGTTACGATTTTTCGAAGTTTCGGATTAGCAGAGTACAGCCCGAAATTCGAATATTAGATCGAGTATTTTTAGCCAACATGACCTAAATGAGAATCGAAGATCTCGTTAAGAGTAGCGTAACAAGAAAAAGATGGGCAAAAACGGACGTCGGATGAAGAAGTTATGAGGATTTAACGGACCAATCCTGTCTCGGCCTGTTAATAATATAAAATTTAAAATCGAGTCAAAATTAGCCAACGGAGTCTAAAAGAAAGTTGTAGAGTACGTTCCCACATTCTCATGGATATAAAGAACGTCAAAAACGGAGCTCGTATGTGAAAGTTACGAATTTTTAAAGTTGGAAAGTGAATTTGCGAAGCTGATGCATAGACTGATGACGTGGCTTAATCCTGACCGTTGCTTGCGGCCCACGGTCCTCGCTTCGGATGATGACACATCACCTCGCATTACGCCTAGCGTCCGAAGTCTGTACACCCCGCGTACCTTCGCTCTTATCCACTCCGAGAACGAGCCATGTGCGAGACAGCTGGAAGCCTTATCCGTGCCACTACGCCCAGCGTAGGTCTGAGGTACGCCCAGCGTACCGAGGCCTCGCATGCTATAAAAAGGGCCGAAGGCAGCTTCATTTTTCACACCAAATCTCTTTCTCTCTCTAAAATATTTCTCTCTCTAACACCCAAACCACCCCTAAACCCTAGATAAACCCCCTAGCACCCTAAGGAAGCCTCGAGGCTCCCGGAGTCCCGAGAAAAAGGAGTCTTTCGGTTTCGAAATGCTGCCCCAATTAAGTTCCAGTTTTCGATAAAATTCGCTGTAAGTGAGCTACGCTTACGCAATTTTTAATATAGCTTTCAAATAATTATAGGAATGTTATTAGGTCCATAAAATAATAATTTGGGCTATTATTATCAGTTATATTGAGTGTTATTAACGCTTATATAATAATAATAATAATGATAATAATAATAATAATAATAATAATAATAATAATAGTCAGACTATTAATTTGTTGTGGTCATCGTTAGACTAAACCTTAGTGGTATTGATACTAGGTTTTATCAAAGGAAAATCGTTTTGAGAGTATCGAAGCACTGTCCGAGTGCTGAGTCACCACCTTTCAGGTGAGCGCATAGTTACTTTCAGCTTACACATAGATATGAAGTATTTTATATAAATTACGTGCTATTTGTGCATATTATCTGAATACTTGCTATCTATGTTGGATGAACGTTTTTATACATGTTGTCAATGATTTAAACTGTATATGTATTTTATATCTACGAAAATGTTGGGGTAAAACATAGGTAGATGTAATAGGTGATGTGTGATAAAATGATGTAAGGCCTCGATGTTGATGTTGTTGATTCTGTCTTCTAGCGGAGTATGGATGACGACCACGGACTCTTCTAGACAGTCCAATGGAACACTAGCAGGCTCGCAACCTGTAGGTGTTTGTGAACGATGTATCCACCGGTGTACTCCATCCCCCACATGGTTGCCTTTAGAACATTTATTGCTGAGGAATCCCCTTAGCAGTAGTGTCCATCCCGATGATGATCCTTAGGCTAGGTCCCTTATGATAGGTGTTTAGGGACGTAAAGTGAGGATAACGGGAATGGGTAATCGGGTTATTGTTGATTGATGAAATTAATAAACTTATTTATTGTGGGTTGAAAACCCTATGTGCTCACCAAGCTGCCCAGCCTGACCCACTCAGTTTCTTGTATTACAGGTAGTGGCGCATGAGCATAGATGTGATGTTTTGGACGAGGGGTTACGGATATAGGCCTGTAGATATGAAATAATGTAGTAAGGCTTATACTATATTGTTTATACTTATGTACTGTATCGAACATGAGATCCCGAGTCTTTTAATGAAATACATTTCTAAGGAAATACTTTTGATAACTCTTTATCATAATATTGTTGTAGGACAAATTCCGCAACTCTTTTATTAAAAGATTACTCTGATTTTGAAATAAAGTATAAACAAAACCGGTCTTTTATGGCCATGATTTTGGGGATGTCACATAATAGTCTTCATGTTGCAGACGAATATGGATCTTCAACTCGTCTTCGGTTCCATAAGATGAAAAAATAGAATTCGGGTGACTCTCCTCGCATTTACAAAGCATTGGGGTCTTCTGGTCCATCTTAGCTGAAGAGGGTCACTTTCTTGTTTCAACATATTATGACCCTTAGATGCTTTTGATGAACCTTCGGCACCTTTAGATGTAACCTTTGGGTGAAGAATACTAGTTTGACTGGAATCCATTGAAGCTTGATATTGAATTACCAATTGATGAGTAGGATTGACTAACTTGAGCATCGAATCAGAAATTAGAGCAACCATTAGGAAAATTATAGCATTATCCACCACATCCGTAGGAACCATCTTTGATGAAAACTCAATAGTATCGACATTAGTGGGAAAACATACCTGTATAAGGTAACTTCAAAAGTTGGGAAATTTTCTTCTTAGGAAGCTTCTTAATCTTATTGGAAATCAATTGAAATGTAACAACTTTGGTGGTTTTGTCATAAACGGAAGTAGAAGCAGCTAAAGACAAGCATTGCATTGGAATTGCAAATGAAGATGATAATGCATGATTAAGAACAGAGTTGTTCAAAACCAATACTATCATTCGTATTTCAGATTTGAATCTTCATCATTGGTTGTGAAATCTCTTCTTCATTGGTATTGAATTGATCAATGATGTTTTTCTCAACATCCATTTGAGTAGATTGAGAGAGAATTTATGTAAGAGAATTTTTGATGAACAATTAGGGTTCTTGAGAGAACTCTGAGAGCATAAAAGTGGAATTGGAATGAGCAGTTTCCTTAAATCACTGGCGTGAAATTTGAATTCAAACCATTTCCCAGTTATATAATGCCACGTGGAATATTGGTTACTTAACCGTCACCATAGAAAACTGCCACGTATAAAAGTGATGATCACTTTTTTCCTCGAGCCTCGTGAAAACCTTGAACCGTCCCATCAAACGGATATTTCCTATTTCCCAATCAAAAATAAACTGCCATGACTTTCGATACAACTATAGAACCCTCCTTTGTTGTGGAAGCTGGGCTCATTCACTTATGTAAGCGAAATCATTTGCCAGACTTTGCAAAATCTAAGTTTCGAGTTGGTAATACTCAAAACCTCAATGATTTTAGTGCATAAGTGTACCATATAAAAAGATAAAATCAAAATAAAAAAAATGGCATTGTGATATCAAAGAATCTTTGATATTAAAGCAGATAGATCTTGGGAAAAGATACGCTTCATTCAACATCAAGATAGATTACGAACTACTTGTTTGGTTTCCCGTGAATTACAATCGAAAACTCATTGAGAAGTATTGAAGGGCCTATTTTGCATATGGTTCATGGGCGGTTTCATTTTCACACAAATGTACAACTTGACATAAGTGTAAAGAGTTGTGCAAAATACTTGGATGACTAGTGTAGTCAAGAACAAGTAAGCTTTGAAAAATTTGAAGTCACGAAAGTTAGAGAAAGATGACATAAGTTTGATGAAAACTTTCTTGTTCTTTTTATTGAGTTTTATTTGAACTTTTCATATTCATTTTCTCATTTACCTTTTGAGCAACTTTTTCTTTTGGAGAAAAACCTCTTTTATTTTCAACATTACTTTCACCATTACTCGAATTATATTGAGAGAAATGTTTTGAAGTATGAATTTTTGATATTTATGAAAGCTTCTTTTCAGAATTTTGCTTATACTTATATCTCAAGTACTTTGCTTTCTGTTTTTCCTTTTGTGGCTTCCAATAAGCTGTGTTTTGAGGTTTCTTTCTAGAAATTTCGATTCTCAAATCAATTTTCTCACCCTTTTCATATTCATTTTGAATTTTTCTCATTTTAATTTTTGAAAGGAACTTTTTGTGCAACTGGTTTTTCTTCCTTTTTGAAATCATGAACATTTGCCTTTTGACTATTACAATCATTAGGAAAGATTTTCTCATTGTTTTCATCAATTTTACTTTCAACTTTTGATTTTTCTGTTTTCATGACCTAAACTTTGTTAAATTTCATTTCTTTTTCTTTGGAAAGAGATTTTTTTTACTCTTTTTCCACTGAAAGCATATGATCTTTTTTAAACCTATTTTACTCCATATTCTGATTTGAATAAAAACCTTCTTGAGTCACTTTTTGATTATCCTTTTTCAATAATTTTTTTAATTTTGTGTCAAAAGTTTCAGCATTTCCGTTCGTCACAAAGACTTGATTTAGAAGACCTTTGATACATAATGGATAAAGAACAGAATCCGTTTCCAAACAATGTTTTCCCTTTTCTTTAAAATCTTTGAAAATTCCTCTGTATCATCATACACTTGAGTTTCCACAACTCGAGGAATTTGATTCTCCTATGAATCATTGTCACTATCACTTCGTTATTAGTAATATCCTCAACAACAACTTCCTCCTTTCGGGTCTCAAAATATTTGGTTGTCGAAGATGATTCATTGTTTAATTTCGGATTAGAATCAACATTATCTTTGTCTTAACCCAACGAAGTGAAGTTAATGATAGACAATTACGAGCAATCAACATATTCCTCCTCTTCTATTTCACTAATATTCTTCAAATTATCTTCGATATCAGCAAAACTTTGTTGAGTAGTTTGTGTTGATTTCTCGGTTTTGTTCAAAATTTTGATTTGTTCATTTTTAGTCAATGTCTCATTCACAATATTAACAAGCTCATCAGCATTTAAACAATCATTTATGTTAACTACACTGTAAGTATATGAATCATTTGAAACAGTGGCATAGTCAGCTCTTTACTCTGACAATCAAAAGTAGTCTCATCAACCAACTCTCTCCTAAAAACAATAAAAGGAAGTAACTTTCTATGTTGTTCAACACAAATGTCAGCAGAGTGATAAAGATTTGTTGATTTGGCATACAGTCTTTTAGTTTTGTTACAGTAGATGTTACATTCCTTAATTAATAGTTTATTACCCATTCTAAGTGTATCCCTATCACACATAAGATTCGTGATATAAAGCTCTAAACTCTCAAATTTACTTTTCTTTTCTTCCCTCCTATTATGAGCTTCATAAAGGGATGCCTTAGATGTTTCTACTTCACTACTCGTTGAAATAAGCATGTTATTCAAGTAACAACAAGTTTCATCAAATTCACATAAAACCATATGATAAGAATTCAAAGGAATATTTAGTGATATTAGAAGATCACGCACATTTGCAGTCAATGGAGCTTTTGGAGTTGTTGTAACGAAACACAATGGTCTCACAATCTTCTTCATCACTTTCCTCAACCAAGCTTTTCTCACATGGTTCTCCTTCTTAATACTTTGCAAGTAACAGGCCATGAGTAAGATGACGCGTTTCTTCATCGTCAAATCCAGAAGACCAGATTTGATAAGTCTCATCACTCTCATCACCTCCTCTAGCCATTAGCGAAAGATTCTTTGTTTGTGCACAAACTTCCTCTAGTATTTTCACATAATAAGCCACATCTTTCGCATTCTCTTTCTTCTATTCCATCTTTCTCAACATGCATCATTAGCCAAGTGATTATGTCCATTACTATAATTGCAGTTGTAGCCGGAATCTCCTTTCGATTTCACTTCCACCTTCTTCTCATCTTCTTTCTTTTCTACTTTCGACATCACATTCTGAAATCCCCTAGTATATAAAAGAGTGAAAAAGTTCTTTCGTTGTTGTGGAATAAGAAGCCTTCATATCTTAGTGCACGTATTTAATTTATTTGGAGCTATTAGAGCGGGATGACTTCCACTAGCATTTGAAACTTGTTTCTTTTCAATATTATTCTTAAAACCTCCACTGATTAGTTTCTTGAAAAACTTCTTTACTCCATTATTAGAGTAATAAGAAACTGCTTCATCATCTGAATTGATCAGAAATCCTTTTTCATCTTCTTTTACATCACCCTCAGACTCGTATTCCTTCATATTTTCTTTTGACACCAATGCCATTGGACGACCATAATTCAGCCTGTTCTCATCAGCAATCTCCATTACCTTTGTTTCATGCGTTTTGAGAATATTGTACAATTTGATAACAAAAGAGTATCAACATTCTCATGTGTCTTGATCATCAAGCATATGTTTCTCCATTCCTTTCCGAGTCCATACACGAAAGTAAGATTGGATTCAAGAGAAGTATGTTTTACCCCATATCGATTGCACTTGAAGATCAGATCATTTATCCTATCATAGTAAGCTTCAATGTTTTTGTTTTCTTTCTGCTTGAAATCAGCAAGTTCAGACAGACATTTCGTAACTGAACTCTTCCTTGTTCTTTCATTGCCTAATACTTATCTTTCAAAGTATCCCGTATTTCCTTAGCAGTTGTGCGTCCACGAACATAGCTGTAAACAAAAGGAGGAAGAGAACCTCTCAGTTCACGAAGATCACAAGCCTTCCTGGTGTTTGCTTGTGAAACCATGTTTGCATCTGTTCCGACACTTCCAACGTTCTCAACCAAATCTTTACGATAATTTACCTCCTTGATAGATTTCCACATATTTTCATCGATGCCATTAAGATAATCTTCCATCCAATCGGCCCACTTATCATAATACTCAGGAATCAGCATCAGAATCTTTGTTGCAGATCCAATAAATATTTGCATAGTTCATCATCATGTTCACTTTGTGATTAATCATTTGATTTGATTTGATGAAAAGAGAAATTACTATAAGAGAATTGAGATGATTATCAGATCGATTGATAGAAACAATAGCAAAATCAATTAATCACTTATTGATTAAATGAAGAATTGTGTTTTCAAATTGCGGAACAATGAATCGGAATGATCGATTGAAAAAGATGAAAAACGTTGCGAAGATTCTTCACTCAATGAAGTGAACCCCGCTATGATACCAATTGAAGAGTGTTAGAAATAATGTTTGAATCAATCGAATATAAGAAAGCGATAATGAACACTGAGGTTTAAATAAGATTTGTTTAGGTTCGATTAAGTCTGCAATGAGTACAAAGGTTTGAGTACAAAGAGTAATAAGAGAATGTTCCCTTACTCTAGACCTAAACATTTGCTTTATTTATAAGGTACATCAAACATACAAAAAAAAATACAAGGATTAGACCATACATGCTAAAACTAGTAGATGTTTTGTAAATAGATTAGATAACGAAAGTACTTAACTTTCGTTATTTACAAACATGAAACATAAAACTATAGCATTTGATTACTCCCTATAATTTTTGACTCTACAATTATTATTATTATTATTATTATTATTATTATTATTATTATTTAACCTTTTATAGCTATATGGTGTATTTTATTTAATTAATTTATTTTCCAAATTTACAACGTTTAGTCTTTAATTATATAATTATTCAATATTATTTATTAACCCTTTTTCGAAATAATTAAACGGAAACAAGGCGATACAACTAAATTGCGATGGTGCAGAATTGTTCATTAGAAGCTAAGGTGTTGTTTGTTTTTTCTGAGGCAGAATGTTTGCAGTCTGCGGACCACATCTGTAGACCTCTGCAGTAGAAGAGGTGGACCAAACGTCTGCAGTCTGAAAAAAGAAGACTGTTTGTTTTTTTAACATCTGCGGGCTATTAAAATAAACTGATTTTTTAAAACTTCAAAGCGAATTTTTTATATATTTTTACGACTTTATTATAAATATATAACGAATCTAGATCAACTTTTATGTATTATTATATAAAAAATAAAAATAAAAATGGTATTAATTCATATACATATTTGATAAAAACCAACAACTTTGATTGTAAAGTTATAACTAAACATTATAATTAGTGATCAAAGAATTTGATACATAAATAGATGGAAATAAACTTCGATTTTTTCAAATAAATCTATTAAAAACGTACGATAAATATTTTCTCGAGAAATTGATGATACTCTATTAAATAAAGTTTTACAAAATTTTGGCAAAAAAATATAAGAATATATTATGATTTTTTTTTCATATTTATATAAACAACTTCAACGACTATTATTATAATAAATTTTTATTTATAAATTTGTTAAAAATATCATGTTTGTATCGTCAAATGTTTTTTTTTAAGTTTTGTAATTTTTTTTTCATATTGTTTATCATTAATAAAGTTGGAAAAAATATAAATTAAAAAAAAACTTAAAAAAAATAAAGATATATATGTTTTTTTAAGCTAGAAGATGTCTGAAGATGTTAGAAGACTCTGGTCCACATCTGCGCCAAGAAGAGGGCGCGCAGACATTTTTAGGTCTGCAGTCTTCAAAAAAACAAACAGTCTGTGAAAACTAATGTCTGCGCGTGGTCTACGCGGTGCAGACAGAAAACATCTCGCAGATCTGCAGACAAAAAACAAACACTACCTAAATGTCCTTTGGTGAGTAGGGATGAGCGTAGGTGGGTACCCGCCTCATTTGGCGAAAACCGGAACCGGAACCGGAACCGGCGGTTCCTAGAAAGTTAGAACCGGAACCGGAACCGCTCTAGGCAGTTCTTAAATGTTTGGAACCAGTCCCGGAACCGGCGGTTCCGGTTCCGGGAGCGGGTAACCCGGTCGCATTAATTTTGTTAACTTTTTTAACAAAACCACAATTTAGTTCGATCTGAATCAAATCAATTCGGACCAAAGACGGATAAAATCGTACCAATATATTCTAAACCGGTCTAAGTAACACACGTTTATATATATATTTATATATATATATATATATATATATATATATAAACCGGTTCCGGCGGGTACCCAGCGGGTAGCGGTTCCGAAAAAACGAGAACCGGAACCGGAACCGCTTAAGGCGGTTCCATAACTTTAGGAACCGGAACCGGAACCGCCTAAGGCGGTTTCCGTTCCAAAACCGGCAGTTCCGAGGCGGTTCCGGTTCCAAAAGCGGGTACCCGGTTCTGATGCTCATCCCTATTGGTGAGTCCTCCTGGATAGGCTCCATGTTACAAAAAGTTTGCGAATAGGAATATAGATGTTCCCTCGATTTTATGTACCTTGTGTTCTTCACATATTGAAAATTGCAGCCATATGTTTGTTAATTTCCCTTTATTTGATAATGTTTTGGGGAAAATACCGGTAATAGCCAAAAAAAATAGGGGGTACTTTCAAAATTTAGATATTAAAATTGATATTTCCTGGTATATACATGCATTCCGTGGAGGTAGCTCCGTGGAATCTATTGTACCGCTACGTAATGGCAAATCGTAATTAAATCAACGTATAAAAAAATAATGAATAAATAAAAAAAAACTTAAGATTCATTCCGCTGAGCTACAGTAGATTCCGTGGAGATAGCTCCGATGAATGGATCTTGAGTTTTTTTTTTCCCATCGATTCTTCGGGATTTATATTTATTCACCAACTAATTATTTTCAAGAAAATATTATACTGATAATATTTTTTAAAAAATAATTAGTTGGGTAATGAATATAAACTCCGAACAATCGATGTGAGGAAAACAAAAAAGCCTCAAGATCCATTCCTCGGAGCTACCTTCGCGGAATCTACTGTAGCTCCGCGCAATGGATCTTGAGTTTTTTTTTACGTTGATTTAATTACCGCGGAATGCATGTCTATACCTGAAAATGTCACTTTTCATATCTAAATTTTGAAAATATCCTCTGTTTTTTTCTCTATTGCCGATATTTTCCCATGTTTTGAAGCTTATGGTCCGGATCGACTTGATATGATGAATCTAGTGAAAATGAAGGGGCTTGGAGTCTTTGTCTAGACTACGATGTGAGTTCTTTGGCATAATAAAAACAATGTTCTTTTCAGACATCCATTTTGAGGAAAAGTCATATTTTCGAGCGCATCCTTATCTACTATTTTGAATGGTTTTTCCATAGATTTAGTAAACATAACATTACGAGAACTTTATGGATTTAAAACCCACTTTTAAATGATTTTTTTTTAGTTGTTTCTTTTGCTAGCTTCTTACTAGATAGTGTTTTTCTTTTTATATAATTTAATTGTTAAAGAATAATAATAATAATAATTCGACACATTATACTTCAAACATTGTCTAATAAAAGAATATGATTTTATTAAAAGAAACGAAATGACTAGATTCGAATTTATGAATAATTAATAATTGTCGGCACTAACAACTCATCACTTTTTAATAATTTATGAAGTTATTGACAACTTTCGTAACAAAATATATGGTTAAATATAAAGTAATACCATGTGTTGCTTAAAGAAGGTTCCTAGTAATGTTAATTTTTATTGTTTCAAAAAATAAATATAATATGTATTTAAGTTGAGCATCATTAGTAATATGTTTGTTTATGAATTGATTGATTAATTGATATTACATTTAAAATAAAATCGCGATATATAATTTTTTGTTTTGTCGATAAAGTGATCTGATTTTCCGATTATGAAAAAGTCAAATAGTCAAATTGTTACCACTTTAAACTATTTCGATATGTTATGCTAATTTCTAGAAAAGTTATTGTTTGTTGATGGAAAATAACTTGTCACATCCTAAGTTTATATACTTAAACAATACAAACTGCCTTTTTATTATAAAACTGTTAAATATTTCGACTTTTTAAGAGTTCAAACAACCGAAAGGCTAATTTAGTACTCCAAAACAATCTCATCACATAAAGACTTAAGAAGAAGAATATTATCCATTGCTCATTGCTCATTAACGACAATAAATAAATAAATAAATAAATAAATGTAATATCAAGTTTCTAAAGGCATTTATGACTGATTACGACATATTGCCGCCTGTGAGTCTGAATAACCCGTCACACGATTATTGAAAATTATTTAAAGATAGCCATAATTTATCTGTCGCTAAAGTTACTTTACGAAATTAATATATATGGAAACTACGTAATAACCGGCAATGAAGACTAGATATTTTTTTAGTTATATATTTAATTAGCTTTAATTTAAGAATTAATTTGAGATGGTTTTATGTGGCGTACATTAAGACATCTAAAAATTAATTCTTAATTAAACCTCTCTATAGCTAAAAACACAACTAGCCTTCTCTAGTTCTCTATGTGGTGCTTTCCAAGAATTAAAGTAAGGGTGTTATTTCTAGAAAAATATCTAATGTACTCATGCCATCCAGCCCAGAAAGCCCAATATCAGAATTCTATCCTTTAGACCCAGTCCAAAAGAAATGAATCCAGTGATAAAATAAATTGCCTAAAGCCCAACTCATGGAACCAGAACCCAAAATATCCAAACCCTAACATGATAACATCACCACTTCCTTTTATCATCTAACATATCCGAGTCTAGGCCTTCTCTTTTTCAATTCTTCAATTCATGCTGATGGATGAAACCCTTGAGGCTATTGTTAAAGAGGGTGGACATGTGACTTGTCTTTTGGTTTCTTTTTCTCGTTAAACCCATTATTGGTTGTTTCAGAAAAATTAAAAAAGACAAAAGACAAAACTAATGCATGGCTTAAGGTAAAAAACAAAGAGTGCAAAATAGATTGAGGAAATCATCAACAACATCGATAAAATCGATTTTGAAGCTGAAGAATTAACTCTTTCTAGTGATGGTATTGCGACAAGGGAGGAATTGCTTAAGGAGTTGATGGAAATTGAAGAAAACACGTACTAGGCCTCAAACAAAAACCGAGGTGCATATGCGCATTGG